TAACATCCAATCAAGATGCATTGATAATTATTGGTAATTGGAATGCAAAAGTTGGAAGCTAAGAGGAAGGATCAGAAGTTGGAAAATATGACCTTGGTGACAGAAACAATGCTGGCAGTCACGTGAAAGAATTTTGCAAGACCAATGACTTCTTCAGTGCAAATACCTTTTTAAAACGACATAAAAGATGACTAACTATATACATGGACCTCACCAAATGGAACACACAGAAATCAAATTGACTACATCTGTGGGAAGAGATAGTGGAAAAGCTCCATAAAAATCATCAGAGAAACAAGGCCAGAGGCAGTCTGTGGAACAGGCCAACAATTGCTCTTATGCAAGTTCAGGCTGAAACTGAAGAAAATTAAAACAAGTTGGAAAAAAATATGACCTTGAGCATATTCCACCTGAATTTAGAGATATCTAAAGAATAGATTTGATGCACTAGTCACTAAATACCAAAGACCAGAAGAGTTGTGGGATGATATCAAGAATATCATACAGAAAGGAAGTAAAATGTCATTAAGAAGACAAGAAAGATGGGAAAGGGCAAAATGATTGTCAGAAGAAACTCTGAAAGTTACTCTCCAGCATAAGGATGCTAAAGCAAATGAAAGAAATGAGGAGGTAAAAGAGTTGAATAGAAAATTTCAAAGGGAAGCTTGAAAAGACAAAGTCAAATTTATAACAGAATTTGCAAAGACCTGGAGCTAGAAAATCAAAAGGGAAAACATGCTCAACATTGCTCAAGCTGAAGAAACTGAAGAAAAAATTCAAACTTTGACTTGAAATATTGAATGAGCCATTGGACAAAATATTGAATGATGCAGAAGGCTTCAAAAGAAGATGGAAGGAATACACAGTCACTTTACAATAAGAAGAAATGGTTGCTGTTCAACCATTTCAAAAGCCAATGATACAGAAGGAAGAAATCCAAGGTACATTGAAGCCATCAGCAAAGAACAAGGCTCCAGGAATCAATGGGATGCAAATTGATGGGAGACACTCATTTATCTATACCACAAAATTTGGAAGACAGAGCTACCTGACCAACTCTATCTTCCAAATATGAAAGAGATCCATATCTGTGCCCATTCCAAAGAAAGGTGACCCAATGGAATGGGGAAATCACTGGACAATATATCATTAACATTGCAAGCAAGTAAAATTTTGCTAAAAAACAGCTGTAACCATACATGTCAGAGAACTGCCAGATTCAAACTTGGATGCAGAATGAAGAATTTCATTGCTGACATCAGATGGATCTTGGCTGAAAGTAGATGATACCAGAAAGATATTTACCTGTGATTTATTGACTATGCAAATGCTTTCAATTGTGTGGATCATGACAAGCTATGGACAATAATGTGGAGAACACTTAATTGTAATTAGACCAAGAGGCAGTTATTCAAACAAACAACGGAACTCTGAGTGGTTTAAAATTCAGAGGGGTGTGCACCAGGGTTGTATTATTTCACCATACTTATTCAATATGTATGCTGAGCACATAATCCAAGAAGCTGGATTATATGAAAAAGAATACGACATCAGGATTGAAGGAAGACTCATTAAAAACCTGCAATATGCAGCAGGTTGTCAGTATATTAATTCCTTGCAACCTTGCTTGCTGAAAGTGAAGAGGAATTAATATACTTACTGATGAAGATCAAAGACCACAGCCTTCAATGTAGGATGCACCTCAAGGTAAAGAAAACAAAAACCCTAACCACTGGACCAATAAACAACATTAAGATAAATGGAGAAAATTGAAGTTGTCACAGATTTCAAATTTGCTCAGATCAGCCATCAACACTCATGGGAGCAGCAGTCAAGAAATGAAAGGATGTATTGCATTAGGCAAATCTGCACAAGATCTCATTAAAGAGTTCAAGAGCAAAGATGTCAGTTTGAGGACTAAGGTGCATATGACCCAATGAAATATTTTCAATAGCCTCATATGTATGTGAAAGTTGGACAGTGAATAAGGATGACTGTAGAAGAATTGGTGCATTTGAGTTATGTTTTTGGAGAAGAATATTAAAGGTACCATGGACTGCCAAAAGAACAAACAAATCTGTGTTGGAAGAAGTATAGCTAGAATGCTCCTTGGAAGCCAGGATGGCCAGACTTTGTCTCTCAGTCACATTATCAGGAGTAACAAGTCTCTGGAGAAGGATATCATGTTTGGTAAAGTGGATGGTTGGAGAAAAAGAGGGAGGCCCCTAAATGAGATGGATTGGAACAGTGGCAGCAACAATGGGCTCAAGTGTAGCAACTGTAAGGTTGGCACAGAACCAGCTGGTATTTGATTCTTTTGTTGGTACCAACTCGATGGCGCACAACAACAACAGTTCCATATAAATTGGAGGATAAACTTTTTCATTTCTTCAAAGAAATCTGTTGTATTTTGATAGGGATTGGATTGAATCTATAAATTGGTTTAGGTAGTTATGATAGTTTTGTGTCAACTTTGCTTGTCCTGGATTTTCAGTGGTTTAGCAGTTATGATGTAGTTTTCACCTCCATGATGAGATCTAATGTTAGGCAATCAATTCCATGATGTAATCTGTTGTGATCAGCTCTGATCTGATATGATTATCCTATGTATTGTAAATCCTCACTTCTAGGATGTTAATGTGCTAGATGCAATCTACATAATTAGGTTGTGTCTGGAGTCAATCTCTTTTGAGATATAAAAGGAGAGAAAAGTGAGCAGAGCTCAGAGGGACCTACTTCTACTAAGATAGAAGAGCCAGGAGTGGAGTATGTCCTTTGGACCTGCAGTCCATGCATTGTGAAGCTAATAGATTCAGAGAAAGATTGATGCCAAGATATATGGAGGTCTCCAAGGAGTACTGCGTCTATGGATGTTTCTGAAAGGAGACAAGAATCTTTCCACAGAGCAGATAAAAAGAAAGACTTCCCCTACAGCCAGCACTCTGAATTTGAACCTCTAGCTTCCTAACCTGTGAGAGAGAAAAAAAAAAAAATTCTGGATGTTAAAGTCGTCTACTTTTGGTACTTCTGTTTTAGTAGCACTAGATAACTAAGACAGTAGTATTGACATTTCAATGGCTTTAGCTTTCTTGTCTACTCTCACAAATGCTCAAACTTAATTCTGCTCCCTACCAGTGCTTTTCTATATAGTCCTACAAATAATGAAGCCTGAGCACCCAATTGAACTCACAGTCAACGTTCATTCTGCTTGTTTTAGGTAAGGCTTCTTAATCTAGATCGTCCCAAAAATTTAGTTGAAAAACAGTCCAATTGTAACTTTTCTGCTTTGAGATAATTTGTATTGTGGCTTTCAAGGATCTTTCTCCAAAGAGGTTGCAGGTTACCAATAGAGTTCAGAGTCAGCCTCATCAACTGAAACCTTGAGGGGGACTCTGCTTTCTAAAAATATAAGCCTCTAGTTTAAAAGAAATTAAGTCCATAGATAATGGACCTTCATGCTTTGTTTACAAGGCTCAGCATCTCAGCAATTCTGAGAAGACAGTGATAAACTAAGCTCAATCAGGTATAAAATTAGTAATATCTCATACATCAGTTCCTCAACTATAGCTGACATTCTAAATTTATATTTGGGGCCCTAGATTATTGAGGCTTGTCACATGGGACTTCACCAGAAAGTCATTTAAATACCTCCTAACATAGCATATATTAGCTCTGTAGTTTGTTTTGTATTGTTTTTCTTTCTTTCTTTCTTTTTTTTAACTTCTCTTTTAGGCCCTCTGACTCTCCTCCAAAACTATCAAAAAAATCCTGGGTGGTCTGGATTGTCCTCTTAGAGGAATTCTAAAGTCATAGTTGTCAGAAATGAAAAAAAAAAAAAAAAATTCTTTTAGGGATAACATAAGGCAATGGGAGGGAGTCCTGTTGCGGGGCTGTCGGATAAAGCACTGGACCACAAGGTTGGCTGTTCAAACCCCCTAGCCGCTCCTTGGAAACCTCATACAGGGTTGCTATGAGTCAGAACCAACTCGACAGCACGTTAACAACAAGGCAATGGAAATGTCCCTGATCTAAGATGGTAGGTGATCAGGGAACTAATGTATAGGGAAGAGTCAAACTTTATCAAAACCCTTCCCCATTGTGAAATCCCTTTATTCAGTAAACTCTTTTCTCATTTGGTAATGTCCTGTCCTTACTGGAAAACTGAAGACCTTGCTTCTGATACTCTCCCTTACCCCTTTGTCCCGCCCACTTTCTTCTTCCTGGTCTCCAGAGTTCTAGTTCTAACATCCCATATCACGTCAAGCAAAACAAAACAACAACAAAAATGCCTACTTTTATTAACTCATTAGTTTCTTGCCCTTCCCTGGGCTCAGTAAAGTTTGGGACTCCATCTTCGAAAGATTGTTACTGTAATGATGAACTCCCGTCCCCATGGTTCATCTAGCTAACACACTGTGCATCTTGTCTGCACACTATGGTTGCGCAGACTTTCTAAGAGAATGCTGAATTACCAGACAGAACGCGCTTGGGGGCGAGGGGGACAGTGCGGGGAGGAAGGGAGCTAAAGAGGAGAACTAGCTGCAGTTGTCACAGCAACAGGATAGAGGAGGATACCCCAGGGTTTTAGATAAGATTCGGTCCAAAGCTGCCAGTGTTAAAGGCTAAGGGGAACATAGCACCCCCTAGAGGGAGTACATATTATAAAGGCTAAGGCGGGCCGGCGATATCACGTGACCTCTGTCCTACCAATTGAAAATTAACAGTCACTTCCTCTGTTCCCCATGGAAACAACCCCTCCTCTCTGACCCCTCCCGCCCCATTCATTGGTACAATTTTGGCATTTTATTGAGTGTTCAAACTGACAATCAAATACTTGCGCCTTGTGACTGGACATCTTCAGCCTTCAAGCAAGCGAGTACATTGATTGGTCAATACGTTAATGACTTGCACTCGGTAGTCCAATGATCAGTATCCTGGGCGTGGTTTAATGGGGACGTAGGGCCAATCAGCAGGGGCGTTGCTGTTGCGGCTCCACGTCTGCACCAGCTGCGGGGCAAGATGGAGGCACTGATTTTGGTAGGAGCCGGAGGGGCAGCGGAGAAGCTGCGGTGTCAGTAGGGGCTGGGAGTCGGGTTTAAGCACGATTGAGAGGACGGAAAATGGGGACTTCCTGGTAATTATCGGGACTGAAGGTTCTGTCAGTTCAGGAATAAGTGTGTGGCCTACTTCTGGAGCTAAAGCCTCCGATTAGAGTAGGAAGCCCTGCAGGAAAGAAGGCATAGAGTTGGTGAAAAGTTAAGAGGGGCACATGGAGTTCTTAGGATTCATAGAATTATAAACGTACTGGATTGGAGTATTGAGTTATCCCTTAATCTCCTCCTAATTTGAGTTTTCTCAAATCTATAAACTCGCCCCCAGATTTTAAGTGCAGGTGTTTTGTCTTCTGATGATTGTCAGAGTTTGACTCTTCATCCCCTTTACATTCCTTCAAAAACGTTATTTTCTTAATCCCTCTTATATATGGTTGTCATAAAGACTCACTATTTCATCAGAGTTCTGGAATACTTAATAGAGTTGGTATAGACTGTGCAATATGTTTCTAGACTCCTTTTCCTTCCCTGTTTGCTTTTTGTTGTAGGATCTTACATGCGTTCCTCTTTGGGTGGCTAAAGGGGTGTATTAGGTTCATAAGATCCTTTTTCATAAGATTTGTAAGTTCGAATGAATAAACTTCATTGAGTTGAATTCTAGGTCTCTCTTCAGAGAAGCTTTTCTTGTCTTTTCTTTCTGACTTACTGCACGTACACATATCTAGATCCTCCGGTTTCAATTCCCTTCCTTCAAAATAGTAAAAATAGAGATAATTTCTTCTCCTCATATGGGTTGGCCAAGTATACTTAGAAAATATAAATTACAGTTAGTATTTTCTGTTGCAGGCAGTTAGTCACTGTTCTTAATCAGTTAACAGAGTAGGTTAGATGCTAGGGAATTGGTTTCTTAGCAAGTATTCAGTAATTATGTGGGTTAATGCACTGGACTGAAAAGGCGGTGTGAACTGCAAGGTCAGTGACGCAAGCTCACCAGCAGCTCCTCAGAAACCCTATACAGGGTCACTGTGGTTCCAAACTGACTCGAAGGCACAACTTTGTTTTAAGGGTCGCTATGAGTTAGAACTGATTTGATGGCACTTAACAATAAAACTTTGTTTTAGAAGGAAGTTTGCTTGGTGGTAAAGGAGTGAGGGAGGTGATACTTGGGGAGTCTTTCAAATCAAGCATCTGGATGTCTGTAATATGCTGAATTGTTGGAGTTCTGTGTGAAAATTCTCACCGTTTCTCTTAGTTTCCTGTTCCTGCTTCCTCTGTGAAGTTCTATTTCAACCCACTTCTTGTTACATTAAGTGCTAGCTAGTTGATCCTGACCCATAGCTCACTGTATAGGGTTAATGAGTGTGGTTGGGTTTGAGCCACTGTAGTTAGAAGACCAGTGCTTATCCTATAGTGTCACATCAAGACTGCTTCCTTATATTCAGTTAAATGTGTAAGATGCTGCATTCATAGTACCCATGCTGACTTGGTCAGGTACCCTTGATCTTTGGTTTCCTAACTGTGTTGTAGCTGATTATGACTCATGGTGACCTCCTGTGTGTTAGAGTAGATAATGATTCTTATCACAAGGAAGCTGTGTAAAGAGGCTTGGGGAAACTAAAATACAGGGAAAAGACTTGCTCAAGAAAGTCAGTGTCAAAACTAAGATTAGATTTTTATGTCCTCAACTTCCTAAACCAAGTCTCTCTCTGATGTTGCTGAGTTTCTCTTATCAGCTTTCCTTCTCTTCATGCAATATTGTCCTTTCAGCCATCAGTTATTTAAAGCTTTGGGTGAGCACAGAATACCAACAGGTATCAGTTCCTGTACTATGCTGGTCTCCAGGGTTCTTAGGATATTAAATTTATTTTTACATTTATGTAAATATATTTCAGTGAATGGAAAAGGGTCTCAGTACGGCCAATATTCTCCATTAATAACTTAGGGAATCTTAAAGATCAGTGACTTATATCCTTCCCCCTTTATGCCCTTTTTCCTCAAGGCTGAATTACTCTAGCAGTCTAGATCCTTAAATCTTTCCTCATGGGTAGCTCTTTCCAACTTTTTAGTTTCCTCTATACATTTTCATTAATTTTGGTCCGTAGTTAAAATATTTGCACTTTTCCTCCATTCTTCAAGCCTTTCTCAAGTGGAGTCTCAGAGAATTAAGCCCTGATGCTCTGAGGCATCTATTGTAAAATGATTTAGCTCGTCCTCTGCATCTAGAATGGCATTTAGTTTTGTACCATGTTGGGGAGAAATGAAAAAAACACACCAAAACCCAACATAGCTATTTAAATAATTTTCTGTATTCTGTGCTTCAGTTGAAGAGCTCTGAAAGCCAGGTGATATTTCTTAAATCTCTATTACTCTCACTATCTCACATGCTGGCCCACCAAATTTAGCTTCATTGTATTAAGAACCACCCTTCTTCACTGCACCTTTTTTTCTCATCCCCTCCTCTGCCTACTCATCATCTTCTCCTGATTCTTAGGTGGCCATCGTTGTGATGAAAAGAATGAGGACTCTCTGGATCTCAGCTTAGATCTCTACTGAACTAAAAAGTTTACTCTATGAATTTATTTACAAGCCACTCCTTAAAGAGGGCAGATTCTTAACAACGTGCTTTTATGTTTTCTCTTTCCACATTTCGTTTCCTGGTTTGGTTGGACCACTGGGGAAATCTGGTGAGAGCATATTTTATCCTCACCCCACCTCTACAAGGCACTAAGAGAAAGAGAAGGTACGCTAGAGATGGTCAAGAAGAACATTGATCATAATTTGCTCTGACTATGGAACTGTCTAAATACTATAAAGTTCCTTTCATTTAGTGGGTCACGTTATTTTCTTGAGTTAAATAATCTTGGCCTGTCTTCCAACTGTAATAGTCTAATCTTTCTCCGGTCTTTTTGTAGTTTCTAATGAAGGGAGACTCCTTTCCCTTAGTTTTCAATGTTTAGTAGTAATGCTTTCTGCCTGCATTTTTGAACTCACCTTCCTTTCTCATGCTGTTTTAGTGAATGGAAAAGGGTCTTAGTACGGCCAATAGTCTCCATTAATAACTTAGGGAATCTTAAAGATCAATGACTTCTATCGTTTCCCCTTTATGCCCTTTTTCCTCAAGGCTGAAGTACTCTAGATCCTTAAATCTTTCCTTAATTGGTTTTATTTCTCCTGATTTTCTCTGGTAAGAAGCCCTCATGACACAATAGTTAATTGCTCTGCTGATAACCAAAAGGTTGGTGGCTCAAAGCCACCAGCTACGCTTTGTGAAAGGGAAAACTTGGCAGTCTGCTCCTGTAAAGATTATTGTTACACTGTTGTTGAGTCAGTTCTGACTCATAGCTATCCTGTAGAGGGTTTCCAAAGAGCACCTGGTGGGTTTGAACCACCAATCTTAGCAGTTCAGTGCCTGTCCTACAGTACCACACTTAGGAACCTCCTATGAAGATAACAGCCTAGAACTTTGGGGCAGTTCTACTCTGTCACATTGCCTCAGAATCAACTTGAAGACCCACAACAACAACAATCCTCTCTCGAGTCACTTTTTGATTGCTTTTCCAGTACTTTACAGACTAGACTTCTAATTCTGCCCTCGTCTCTTAATAACTTTTCTATCCTAAAACAGTGATCAAATCCCAAATTCTAAACCTTATTCAAAACCCGGGCCAGCCAAAGTGCACAGAGTATGTGTAGATATGGAGGAGGAAACTATGCTGAATATATCCATGACTCTTAAGGTTGATGTTGCTCCATGGCCTTTGCTTCCTGAATCATCTTAATGGGTCTTTTGTTAAATTCCTTTGGCACTAACAGTAGAGGTACTTGGCCTAAATGCCCCCTCCCCCTGCTCTAGGCAAAGGTATCAATTACATTAAGCCCCCAAAGCACTCCCATCTCTTTCCTGGCAGTCCCTTGTGCCCCTCTTCCAGCTGCGTCCTTGCTGGTGCCTGGCCTCTCCATTTCGTTAGGAGAAGCAATCTTGTTCCTGCACGGTGGAGATATATTTCTCAGCTAGGGCGCAAGCAGTGCCAGCACTGCCCCCGGTGAGGTCCCTGGCAGCCATAAAAATTTTTATTGTGATTATGTTGGTGTCGGGGTGTCCATCTGGGTTATTGCACACCTAGTTTAATTGATTGAAGTTTAATTTATTGACACTTCAAATTAAATGATCAGAATAAACTGTGCTGTTACTCTGGCCAGCTTGTTTTAATGGTTGATTGCTGGAAGCAGACCTCGGCTTGAACTAAAACCCCCAAAGAGCAATTGACGCTGCTTCTAACTCTCCCCATGTCTTGCCCTCCAAGAAGACCTCGTTATAGATTTCCGACGTATTTATATATGTTTTTTCCCTCTCCTTCACAGTAGTGGGAAAGAGTTGGTCCCTGGCAAGGTATAAATTATATCAAAGGTCTAGGGTTGCTGTCACATGGTCTAAAAAAGCGGAGAGGGCCTCCATGTGAAGAAAGCCAGACCCTTGAGAAGTCAGGTCTTCCCTGGGAGGCAGAGGAACAATGCAGTTATCCAGATATTTGAAGAAGCAAAGGCTTCATGGCAGATTTAGTGTCTGTTTCATCTTGATATCTGCTACTGTTTTTTACTTTGTCGACATAACTTGATCATGACTTGATCGAGTGAGGATATTGATAAGAAAACTAGTTATAAAAAGAGGAACTAGAAGAGGCAAAGGGTGTAACAGGAGTAAAGAGTCAGTTCTTACCTAACCACTTGTTGTTATGTGCCGTGGAGTTGGTTCTGACTCATAGTTGGACCCTGTACAGGGTTTCCGAGGCTGTAAATCTTTACGGGAGCAGAAAACCTCATCTTTCTCCCGCGGAACAGCTGGTAGTTTCAAACTGGTGACCTTGCAGTTTGCAGCCTGATTCGTAACCACTATGCTACCAGAGCTCCTTAGGCTAGAGAATTTAGGAAAGAGAGACAGAATGCTGATGAAGATGGATTGGAAAACTGAGTTTGGATGTCTGCACT